GTTACAAGATGATCGGCTTTTAAACCATCAGGTCAGGTCGCTGATTGGTGGTTATTTCAATATCTTCCCATAACTGTTTCAATTGTTTCAATTGTTCTTCGATACGAGTTGGATTATGGATATAGTGGACAGAGTACACCAACGTTTAAATAGTGTCTGGTATGTAAAGAGTGTAGGCATAAAAGAGTGTGGCCCCCTGTGGCGAAGTGGACTATCGCGTCTGGCTTCTAACCAGAAGTTCGTGGGTTCGATCCCCACCACGGGTGAACTTTTTTGCTTTAGATAAGCTGCCGGAAATTCAAAATTACTGCGTTTTTTATTTTTGCGATATCTATACATGGTTGGATAGAGCTCGTCGAGTTCAGTTAGATTATGTGTGTTGTAGCCTTTGAAATTCTTTTTAAGGACAAAAGGCTATTTTACTACGGTTTTATTGGAAGGGAAAGAAAAGTTATGCAAGATGCAAGTAACGACATCAAAACAAGTATGGAGAAAGAATATATATATGCTGAAAGATTTTAGCAACATAATGAAGGCAAAAACTTTAAAAATATGCTATGAAGTAGAGCGCTGTCGGAAGTGCATTTGTTTGCTCAATGACGTCTTTAGGTGCATACCAGTCGAACAACTGATCACTTTGAATGTCTCTTTGTTTCAAGTCTTTAAACGAATGAGGTGTACCATCATAGCAGTGTGGCACTTGTGATGTTCACACTCTGTCAGTTGGCCGAATACAATAGGATAGTATTGATTGAAAAACCACTAAGTTATTAGTACTATCAACTAGATATAGGCAGTCGTAATCACTATATGTAGCACTAGAGCTTTTAAATAAACGATAATGAGTTTTACTTAACAAAACTGACCATAGGAATACGCAGTACAAGAATGAATCCATGCGTCTTTAAAACCTATGAGTTACATGGTTTTTTCAAAGTCAGAGTGAACAATAAATAGAAATAATTTGTATTAATGTATCAGTAAAAGAATTAATAACAATAAAAAAAAACATAGTTTGACCCAAAAAATTAATAGATCACTACAACATATAATATATAATAATATTATAAAAGTGTATTGGTTTCACTTTCTATAAACTTATCTTTTCTATTCATTTTTCTTTTCTCTTGTCAATGGCGCTCCTCGATTGTCGAAAGTCACGTAGGACTAATCGGACTATTACTTAACTTTACATTATTCACCATCACTGTTCCCGCGTAATAACTATATTTCCGTCACTGGATAATAAAAACGATGTTTACCAATAAAAGACAACCTCTTTCAAGCACGTTTTAGTATTATTTATTATTATCATAGTCGTATGTTGTAGTGCATTTATTGTTCAATCTGACTTGAAAAACCATGTAACTCATAGATTTTAAAGGTGTATAGAATTCATTCTTGTGCTGCATATTCCTTTCAACTTCATCGTAGGTTAGGTCCGGTCAGGTTATGTGGAAATTGTAATTCTTACTGTGAGAATAGCCCAAGGCGAAGAATACTGGAATATGAGCTTGTAAGATCATTTTATAAGATACCATAAGATTTTTCAAGATCTTACAAGATTTCACAAGATTTTTCTTGCAACAAGATTCTGTAAGATCTTTAGAATTGTGCAAGAACTGACAAGAACTTGAAAGATTTCATAATATCATATAAGAATTCATCAGATCTTACAAGATTATGTCTCTGGTTCTGTACTGCAGATCTCCTTTATACCCACTTCGAAAAAAAGTTTTTTTCTTTTTATAATATTTTGGAGTATAGGAAGGAATCTGACGTCCTTAGAAATGTGTCTAACCACGTTTCTTACAACCATGCATCATGCACTGGCATGAGAGTGAGCCACGAGACAAAATTTTAATGGATGCTCGCTGCATTCCTTCGAATAGTTATCGTTTGAGAATACAGTGCGTTCCAACGTTTCGACAAGCCCGACACCCCCAGTACACAGGAAAAAGAAAGTTGTAAACTCCATGGTTCCACAATTTACCAAAAAAAATAAGGATGAACTTGGATTTCCACATAACCTGACCTAACCCTCGTTGAAGTCGAAATAGACAGGCAGATATAGATGTGTGTATATATTATGGGAATAAGAATTACAATTTCCTCATAACCTTACTCAACCTAACCTAGGATGAGGTGGAAATGTATACATGGATAAAGGATGCAGGTGCATTTGGGAGGATAGGAACCTGATAATGCATCAAGGGAGAGATAGTTACTAAGAAATCGTGCGGCGACTTTTTTTGCATTTCCAAAAAATGCAATGCACTCGATTTAGATAGAAAATAAATCTAAGTTTCGACTAAACTATCGTTTTGTTCATTGAATTTTATGTGATTGATAATAGTTCAGATAACTGATATGACCTACAATTATTTCTTTAACATTCATAATACTTTGAAGAAAAACATGCCATATTTTTATCGAAGTAATTGCCATTCTGTTATCACTAGAATCATCAACATCTCTCATTCGCTTTATTAAAGTGGTTAGTTGCTGACTTGGTCTTGGTAATTTTTTAAATAATCTTAATCCCTTTGAATTCAATGTGTAATTTATATTAAGTAACGGGTGGCGCATAATAAACGGGACACTTTTGTTCTTTATGTTTAAGCCACTTCCGAATGATCTGAAAATCTGGTTCTAGTCTCATTCGATAGACAATTGAATTCTCTACAGAACCTGCTTTTTGAATCTCTGGTGGCATTTTTTTCGTTTGAGCACCACTCAAAATACTGAATAGTGCTAAATTCTCGAACTGCGACGTGCTTTTGTCATATTCTTTTTTGAGATTCTTAGCCCATTGTCTGAGGTTCAATAGTTACTTTTTCTAGCTAGAAAGATAGAGAATTTTGTGCTCTATCGATCTTACTCATTTATAACTTCATACAATGTTTTCGCTACGTCAACTGGACTCCTAACTAGTTCTCAACCGGCTTTTCAAACTTTTCCAAATTAAATTAATTTTGTAATTAATGGTTTCAATTGAGAAACTTTGTTTATATATCAAAAGATGCAGAAATTAATTCTGTATAAGATAACAAGGCTAAAATCCTATATTCATAACGTTTTACTGCTTTTATAAGCAAAAATAAAAATCTGTGAAAAATAGATTCAAAAGTTGGAGCTTTTTAGATTTATCATCTTTTTGCAAACAGAAATTTTCGTAGAAGAGTTAACTGCAGAATTTCGAAGAATGTGTGAGAAGATACAGAATTTTCCGGTGAATCTTCTGATGTTTTCAAAATTCTTATGGAATCTATTCTGGGATCAAGGCGAATATTTTTCTATTTTCAGTGTGTCGCAGTTCGAGAATTTAGCACTATTCAGTATTTTGAGTGGTGCTCAAACGAAAAAAATGCTACCAGAGATTCAAAAAGCAGGTTCTGTAGAGAATTCAATTGTCTATCGAATGAGACTAGAACCAGATTTTCAGATCATTCGGAAGTGGCTTAAACATAAAGAACAAAAGTGTCCCGTTTATTATGCGCCACCCGTTACTGTATAAACTGTTCCTGCTTCGATTTTGTTACCCGATAAATAATCATACAATAATAAAGCCATACATTGACCTTTATTTCTCAAATTTTCTGCTACACATCCACTTGATGCTTGAAATATGTCATCAACAAGTCGTTTAAGTGAACCTTCATTTGCAAGTGAGGATATCATAAATTCAATACGATTAAAATATTTTTCCATTGATATTTTTCATTCTCCAATTGTTGATTAATTGTTTTTTCAACTTGTTTCCATAACATCTGAAATTTTTCTACGATAATATCAGTCGGTGCATCGATATAACGAAATAACCAATCATTGTCATATGCTACGGCTTGTAATTTTTCATCGCAAATTGTTTGAATTTGTTTTCGATTTAAATTTTGTTGTGTTTGAATAATATGTGCTATGATTTGTTGCACATCACGTATTAAGTTTGATTGAACAGTCTTTTTGACTTTATTTGCAAAAATGTGTGCTCCTTTTTCATCACACTGTTCATCGGGTACAGCCATACTAATAAAGTAAGTTAACACTGATTCTTTTTCTTCGTTTAATGTTGAAATTTGTTGATCAAAATGATTTCTCTGTTCATTATAGTAAAGATTTATTAGTAATATCATAATAGAGATATGAATGAATGCTATAATTTTTCCTGATAACAATAATTGGAATACAAGTAATTCAAAGTTAATTTCATTGATATGTGTATTAATCAAACCTACAATTTTTTGTACAAGATTAGCGTTAACTGATCGACGAATTGTATCGTTTCCATGAACTATCGCTATTGCATCTTCTACAATTCTATCAAAGAATTTTGAAATATTTAATATATTCGACTTTGCATTTGGTGTAGTGGCCATTTCTTTACAGATTGTGTTATAGACAATCTTCAGAAAATCAAATCGTAATAGTGTTAGATTCATTGTTGTTATTACAGGTTTAAAATGAAATAAATTTACGAAAACGTCGAAAGGTTTTTTCACAAGATGAGACGTTGATGATTTTGCTTTTTCTCTTTGGTAAGATTGCTCATTTAGTTCACCTTGATCGATTGTTTGCATGATAGAAGTTTCATCATCCATAGAACCTATAGCATGTAAACTAGTTAATTTTTGTGTATTTAAATATTTAAAACAGTGAAGTGTTGCCAATGTGTATGCAACATTAGTATCCAAGACATGTTCCAAACCACTGTGTTGTAAATTAGATGCATTTTCATCAAACCAAGCCTGTATCGAAGTAATAACATCTTCATGTCTCATTTTTTAATCAGGTCGATAATGAATGGTGGATGATTAAATATATGTTGATAATCTGGTAAATATTACTTTCCATAAATGCAATAATTACCATAAACAAATTTAATTGTTTGTTTTAGTCGTTCTTCAGCATTAAATTTACTCTTAATTGAATGAACCTTTTTCTCCCACATATTTTCAAATATTTGTGTTACATTTTCTTTAGTCATAATTTTTCTACTTTCGATAATATGATCAATTAGTGTATGAAGATCGACAAAATCATCCCTTAGGGATCTTCTTCAGATGCTTTAAGAACTTTGAATTGATGTTGTCGTCGTTCATTAATATCTTTGAAATATGTTAAATCAGCAAACTTCTGCAATGTATCAAATATGGTACTGCATTTTGAAAATATATTTTCAGATCAAATCTGCTACGATAACGTAAACGATGAAAATACGGGTTACTACAGTTTACGATAATAGTATACTTTGTTACGTTGTGAGTTTTTTTTGAAAAATTTGACTTGTCGTAAACGATCGTATACGACTGACGTAACTACACCATAATTCATCGTTTACATATCGTCGTATCTATCAACGTTTACGACTGACGTATTTCGTCGTAATTTAACGTATATTGTAGTATACGGTAAAGTTTCAAGACATTTTCTGCCTCTTCTTCTACTTTTTTATTTCTTTGTATTGTTCATACCCTAGTGAATGTACTTGCATGCAGATACTTGGTCAAGTACCCTCGCAAGTTTTGCCCAACGTTTTTGCGTTTTTTTTCAAGTAAACCAACCCAGGACGTCGAAAACGGCGTAATTAATTGCCAATTAGATGCTATTTAATTCGGTATTAATATGCATTTAAATGGAATTTTTTTTGACATTAGATCCAGTTTTTAGGCCATTTTTTGCCGTTATAACTGGGAACGTTTAAATGTCTTTATTTCGCATTTTTTTAATTATCGAAAAACGGTCAAATAGCAAGCATCTAATTGCTGCCAGTAACCCTGCTGATCATATTTTTTTGCCATTTAAATATCAATTTTTAGATCGTTAGAAAATGTCAAAAAATGTTCTAAAACCTGTGGTACTATCACCGGCACCGACCCAAACACCACAGACCACTTCTTCGAGGCAAGTTTCTATGACTCGTATCATTGAAGAAAAAAATTCTAAATTATAATATATATTATATAAAATCAGAGTTATTTATACTAGTCATGACGGCAGAATAAAATGGTGAATGACTTGGTGACCATAAAATGGCTGTTAAATGCCAATTTATGATCATTTTTTTGTCATTTCAAAATGGACAAAAAACTGCCTCAAAACGGACATGTAATAGGCACATTTATTTGGCATTAGTTAACGCGGTCTAATTAAGGACGAAAACGCCATTTTTTCGGACATTGACTATAGTGTAGCATTATTTTCACCGTTATTTCAAAGTCAAAAAAGATCAATATAATGGCTGTTAAATGCCAATTTTCATTCCATTTTTACACAATTAACAGACCATTTTTTGGCATACAGTTAACAGGCTGTTAATGGACAATTAAATGACAGTTTTCGTCGACCTGGGCAAGTACTTGAATTACTTTATCTTCTTGTTAAGTCATTTGCCACGCACTTGTCCAAGTAACCCCCCAAGTACCTGTGGAAGGTTCAACAAGTAAATCAAGTACCTGGCAAGTGCTTTCAGGTATTTATCGAGTAGTATTTTTGATAATACTTGTCAAGTGCTTTTCAAGTATCCGTGGAAATTTGCAAGTAAACAAGTACTCACTCCCAAGTACATTTACTAGGGTAACTACTATCATATAGTATTAATTAAATGTCCTACTGTTGTATTGATTTGATCATTAACAGAATGAATACATCTATTTTTGATCTATTCTCCGCCAAGTATCACTTTCTAAAGTTTACAGAATCCCAGAAAAATAAAGCAGCACGAAAAGATCAGTCCACAGATATTCATCTATAAAAAAGAGTCATTTTTCTGCCAATCAATATAACGAATAAGTTAGCATCGAAAAATATCACAAAAACATTGCTCATCGTAAGTTCACTTTTGAAGACTTTTTGATAGTTTGAAATATGAGAAAAATTAAAAGTAAGGTGCCCGTAATTCGAAGTTTTCATGACTTTTTCTTTTTAACATATTTATACATGATTGGATACAGGACAGCGAGCTGTGTAAGAAAAGTTAGTTTTAAATTTTGAAAAAATTTATTCAGGGTGAAAGTTTTGAAAAACTTGAAAGGACCGATTTTGCTCAAAACCGCTACAGTTTCAAAAAATTCATATTTGCATTTTCTCTTTACTTTCAAGTTTTGAAACTAATTTTTTTGCATTCAGCACTGAAAACTGAGTATAGACAAGATGTTTGATCGATCTCAAACCTAAAAGCTTATTTAGCCTGCTTCACTTGAACTGACCCTCCAAAACGACACCAAGTCATTTTGTAAACATTTCTTTACTACTGAAGCCATTTTAAGTACATTTTCCGAAGTAAAGTAATTTTTTATTTAAAAACTTCTTCAAAAAGTTTCCTTAATTATCCTTAATCGACCGCTTCATTATAGACTTATTATTAATACTCTATCTATCTATATCTTGTATGTCTTCTTATTAGACTTCATTATTTAATATTCCACTTTCAGCTGCTTTTTATTCTAATAGACATACTTGCAACATCGATGACTATGGAATGAACCATTCATTTGTGGGAAAATTTCAGATTATTTTATCCTCGTTTGATGAGCTATCTGTCCTACAAATATTAATCAACCCGGTGATATCGAACATAGATTGAACAAAGTTATGCTTAACCTGATCATCCCTTAGGTCAAATACTTCTTAGCGACAAAATGTACTTACCGTTGTTGACATCGACTGTATTGAGCGATAAATGTTTGCTTTTTAATGAGCTGACTCTATGTGTTTTTTATTTCCCGTTACTCTCGGTCACTACTCCATTACACATGTCGCGCATGATTAGTTCAACATCCATGTTAACCTCTGTTATGTGTTGAAGCAAATGAAATGTAAAGCGACCATTGCGCTCGTTCTTGGCTAGATCCTGAGCCATTTGTCCAGGAGTACAAGCAAATACAATGAGCGAATCTTCTAGTGCATCCATACTAGCTAGACCAGTGGGTAACGTTGAATTGCCTCTTATTCGCGGGTCTAATAAATCATCATTTTTGACACAATAATCACGACAACAATCAAGAAGAAAACGATTGCAACGGGCTTATTAGTCGACATGAGTTCAAGAGTATCTTGTACATTGACAGCTCTAGTCTTGAGATGTCCCTTGTTTTTTAGTCGGTCAGTATCAACTGGTAGTAAATAGTTTTGATCGTTTCATTGGTTCCGTGGCCAGCAAAGAAAAAGACAACCAGATCACCTGTAGAAATGCAATCTTCGAAGTCATCAACGGTTCGTCGCATCTTCGGGAAATCAGCATCTGTCACGACAGTAGTAGTAAAGCTAATAGAGCACAATTTGTGTGAGAGATCGTGAGCATTTATTCTACTAGTAATGTAGATAAACCGTGAATCACAGGACGGCGGAAAAAAGTTCGTCAGTGTAGCCCCAGGGCTGAAACTTCTTGAGCTTATTATTTAATTTATTATATACGTTTACTGTTCTTTATTATTTAAGTTTATTCACCTCGTCACTGTAGTCATTTTATTTTGTTTTCACTCGCTTTCCTTTCCTATAACGAATAGAGCTGCGACAAATAACGATTTGCTTTTCTTTTCTATTTTCTATTTTCTTTTCTTATTCACGTTATATATAGTGTGTGTTCACGTTGCAATGTACGGTACACATATATAACATACATACGACTGTAATGTTCGTGCACACTAAGGAAAAGAAGGAAACGTAACATCATTCTACAACAGTCTTAATGTATGTTATATATGTGTACCGCACATTGCCACGTGAGCACACACTATATATGACGTGAACAAGAAAAGAAAAAAGAAAATCGCTATTTGTCGCAGCTCTAATGTAAATGTACAATAAAATACGTTTATATGATCTCTCTCTTTCGAACTTCTAAATGTACAATGTGTTCCTACCCTAGAAGATTCTATTCTTTCTGTATATCGTTATATATACACAGGTACTTCTTATTCTCTGCCTACATATTTTTGAGAGTATTTTATCACTCTATCGGCTGCACTTTTTGTATTCTTGAAAATGAACACTGTGCTGTTCGAAACGTCGAAATAAATAAGTTTTTTAAACAATTAATATAAATAAAATGAAATTAAAAATAGCTACTGTTACAATAACGTTTCTAAGAGTGTATGAGTCATACTTCGAAGAAGAATAAACGTACATCGTGATTAGAGTTGATCCAAATAACATTCGGTAGTCGTTCATTTTGCGTGTTCCCTCCTTTCTTTCATGCATAGTTTGCTTTCGGTATTTCAAATATCATATATTTTGTTGAAACTTGTATAAATAATATGTCGATAATCGAAATATCGAAAGGAAACTATGCATGAAAGAAAGGACGAAACACGCAAAATGAACGACTACCCTATGTGATTTGGATTAACTCTAATCATGATGTAAGTTCATTCTTCTTCGAAGTATGACTCATATACTCTTTCATAAAAGTGAACGAAAAGGTAACACACTATCTATGGCAGAAGAGGTGAGTAATTCTCGTTGACACGAAACATGTTGAGGGCGAGATGTGTAGAATGCAAGAACATATTATATGTCAATTATACGAGATAACAGATAAAAATATTACGTTACCATCGACGAAGAAGAATACTTATTATTGTGCTAAATTCCACTTTTTCTTCCACGACGGCTACATGATATTTCTCTCCCTATATATCACACACTTTTGTATATAAGAACGAATATGTTTCCTAGTATTGAATGAATGAATTGCTCATAAAGGGCGTGCGGACATTGTCATTTCATTTCTTTTACCATTCATTCTCCTAGTTTTATATGCATATAATGCAATGAAATTAATGTTGTGTAGTTTTAATACACGACTCAAAACAAAAAAGTGGCGAAATGCTTTTGACGTCGACTGTATTAGCCAAGTTGGACGGAAGCGGAAATGTATAGAATTCTATACATTTCCGCTTGCCTCCAACTTGGCTAATATACCCCGGTCACTGTACTTGCAAGCGGGTACTTGCTTACTTGAAAATGTCTGCGGCTACTTGACATGCATTATAGGAACTTCGCAAGTATTTTCCAAAAATATTAGTCGATAAGTGCTTGTACAAGGACTTGCGGAAATTTGCAGGTAAACAAATACTTGAGAAGTGTTTCCTGTACTTCGACAAGTGAATGGCTTTTTAGAACAGCATGAAGTACTTGCAACATAATGGTGTGTGCTTGGCACCAGACTGGCGACTAATACCCATAGCTCAGATTAATACTCTCTGAAAAAAGGATTACCACCAAACCTTTAGATTTCCGTGTTTTTTGCGATAAACTTTTTATGAAATACGGCTTCGCTGGCTGCTGACGAAACAGAGGTAGCGTACGAAGCCCCAAGAATAACTTGTTCCCGAAAAGATTCCGGATTGCTTTCACTAAAACTTCAAAAAGGTTTTTGCTTGTCACAGAAAAAAAATTTTTAATTGCAATTTTTATTTGTTTGTTCAAAGTGCTTTTTTATTTGTTGTGCGTTCCTTTTTTTCTCAGTAGAATGAAAATGCATCCAAATCATATGCTGAGAAAAAAGGGAAACAAGTTTGAAGATAACCGTAGCAGTAGACGTAAGGTTTAATATAGGAGTGTGATGCATATTTATAACGACAAAAAGTAGCTATTAGATACGCTAGGTAAACATCTTCACTAGTGAGAATCACGATAATCCGCCTACGGCGACCAACAAAAGATAGTTAAAAATTGATTGAATACTCAGGTGACTTTCGGAAAACCTCTCAAAATGCATCGAAAACCTAATTTTTGGGTCGATAGAGACACAGATTCTGAAAGAGAAGATTTCAGAGAATCTAACTAAGCAATAAACTCAAGCTTGACTTTTTAAAGAAAAGTATGGATTTCTGAGGAGACCCTCAAGTACGAATTGCTTTAATCTTCTTGGACATATTGCTTTTCCATTTAGATGACTTCGTTTACCGATTTGCCTGATTTATGTTTAATTGAGGTGTGTCACTATTTAAAATCAGGTGAGGTACTTCAGCCACTGGTCGATGTTACTCAACATTTGGATAACATATTATTGGAAAGAAAGTATTTGTCAAATATAAATTTGTTTGATGTTAATGTGAAACTATTCGAATGGATTTGTAATTCTAAGATATTGGAAAAAATCAGTACATCAGTTGAAATTTTAACGATCAACGAAATATTTGCCTGTCTACAATTGAAACATTTTAATTCACTTGATATATTTTCTCACTTTGATAACATCAAATATCTAAGATTATTATTTATCAATAATATGTCTCATATGGCTGTCTTTTTTGAAAGTTTCTATTCGAAGTATTTTCCTAATTTATACGAATTAACGCTTGAACTGAGTACATGTTTACTTTGTTGCGTAGATGTTGAACAGAATTATAAGAATGAACTAGAGCAATTTTCATCGCTTATTCGGGAGCATATATTATTTAAGAGAAAGAAGACGTCATTAAAAAAATGCCTATTCACATTCAATTTAAAGGTTGGTTTGCTACTAAAATCGGCTGAAGTATTGGCGAAAAACGATCATATTCAGCATTTAACAATTCATCTTGATCGCGCTAGTGATATTCTAATTATATTTGATCATTTTCCATTGTTACAGTATTTGAATATTCGCACGGTCAAAGCATATATAAATAGTGATGATGGTGAAGATATAATTAATGAGACATATGATTTTGACGTAAGTTTTCTTCTTACTATTAATCAGTATCAACTTGTTGATATTTTTTGTTTACCTACAACCAATAAGTTTCTCATGAAAATTTAAGTAGAAGGAAAAAGTCAGCTAATAAGAGCATGCGCTATAACAAAATTAGAACCAAAGATGTCATCTTGTTTTTGGTTAAATAAAGATGACATTATACTTTTCCAGAAGATTAGTTTTTCAGTTGAACTAAAGCTATAGTTCAGACTATATATTCATATCTATGATGATAAGGTTTTATGTTTCATTTAGAATCTACCATTGAAATTACCACAATTAAGAGACTTTACTTTAAAGGTTTGCTGTGGTTCAATTGGTTATTAAATATTTGAGAAGATTATTAAAAATCTCATATATTTAAACAAACTGAGTTTTTTTTACACGAGACATGATTTATCGTCACACATTTCGGGTGATAGAATTTATCAAATGTTATCTAATCTTACAAATTTGAAAGAGTTATGGTTTCGCATTAAGTTCATGCTAGAAGTGCCATCCGCTCGAATATCAATAGAGAAATCATTCTTTGATGCTAGAATGAAGTGGAATATCTGTTTTAGTATAGACGAGCTATCTAACATGTATACGATTTATACATTACCATGGTTGGACGCTTGTATGTCAAGATTCAATTGAGCTATGCTAAATGATCAATACGATTACTCGAATGTCGAAGACTTGGAAGTTTGTTGGTCATGTCTTAATGTAACATCGTTCACTGATATTTCTCAAATTCTAATAAGAAACTTCCCACGTGTGGATACGATTGGTATTGATGATAAATGCAAAAATGTTGAAAGAAGTAAAACGTTTTCCGTGAATTCAACATTAAAGTCTGTCAAAACGTTATACATCCTTCAAGACATATCATACTTTGATCAAATCTTACTATTAACGACCCATCTACGGCATTTATGCATTTATGTTAAACGTTTTCACATCGAGGTCAATGATACTGCTTCACTTGACATAATGAGAAACGCATTAAACAAGGTTATCTAATTGGATTTGTTTGATGTTCGTCGATTCGTAGATGTGAAAAATCTTCTAACAAATTACTTTCAAAATATCCACACTTTAACGATCGGCATATCATCCTTAGACCCAGAGAGCGATTCGAGCGATGAATGTATTCGATTGTTTTGTCAAACTATAATGGAAATGAAAAAGTTTTACGCTATTCGATTTTATCTATACAATAATACAGATCTTTTACTGAGCATGTACAAAATATTTGCAGAACATGAACATTGCTTAGTTGAAACATTTATGGGACAGCTCGTTGTGTGGAAATAATAGCGAATTTTCGATTAAATTAGCACATTTTATACAAAAACTCAGTTCATGTTCATGCGTGTATCTTCGATTGCCTCTGATTGGATGATGACCAGTATGTTTTAGAAGTGTTAAAATATCAACAATTAATTCAGAGGTAGTTAGGTTACATATGGACATATACGAAAAAAACGTTTCGTCCATTTTCTCCCTCGTTTCGAGGTTTAACTAAAAATAACAGTAGAATAAAAGATAATCAAAAAATCGTGGATGTCCTTGCTGACTATTACAGAAATCACTTTAAAGAGCCGGAAACAAACTCTAATAACGAAAATCAACAAAAATGTAAGCTCATTTATGAACAAATGAAATATGTCCGTAATATTCCTCTTGAGGACATAAAAATAGACGAGGTTCTGTTACAATGGAAAAAGTTTAAACCGAAAAACTCAATCGATAATTTAAACACATCTGCCTTTCTTATAAAACAATTGCCAGTTGAATATATAGGAACAATAACAACCTTGTTTAAGGGCCCCCCCCCTCAGAAATTATCTCCCACACCGTACATCCAATCTTGACGAAACTTTCCATAAATGTTCGGCACAATGAGTTACGGGAATGAAAAATTTTTTTGTCTCCAAGTCTTACGGTTTAGGAGTTTTTCAGAGATCAAGGTCCAAAAAGGACCCTGAACGGCGTCCCAAGATTTTTTAATATACTTCAAGCTGGAGAGTTCGGGTTTGTTTTATTTTAAACTAGACACCTAACTACATCGACTG